TCATCATGCCACCAAGGAGGTACTTCGGGTACAGTACCTGCCGCATCTTCTCCCATACAGCAAGTAGATCGCGTCTCAGCGTGTCCCATACAGACTCATCGATAGTGTTGACAGGTGCTCGACGGTCCTCCCCAGGTATGGCGGAGTTGAGGTAGCCTTGGGTGCTGCCTGCAGCGCGGGTGTTGGATTGCGCTTGCGAATTGGTGATACGGCCTGTTAGAGGGGCGCGGTCGCTTTGGTTGACTGGGTCGTCTAGGTCGTCGAGGGTAGCTGTGACGTGTAAGGGCTTGTACATAGTGTCTTGCAGTATTCATTGCTTACCATCATCAGGATCAATCAGGTCGTCTTCCACTGGTGCATCGTATCGTTCGTAGGGGTTCGCTGTCTGGTTCGCGCCCGTGCCGGAAGGCATGATGGCTGCCATTGTGCTGTGATGAAGCTACTCAGTCCACTTTGGTATGCTGTTGCGACCAGTGCTGCTGCTGTATCTGGTGTGGTATATGTGACTGAAGTCCTACAGCTTTGTGAGGCCAACTTCACTTTACCAGTTGCCTGAACGTTGTTTCAGCCCTGCAGTCCTGCGGAAGTGCTCGCTCGCCGGACCTTCCTGATGCGAACCTCACGTCTCCAAGTCTCCAACTTTGACCTTGATCTTTCGTTCACTGACATTGACATTCACTTTCAAAAGAGCTGTTACTACTTTACATGGCATCACAGGACATCAAGACCTTTTAACAAGCTATACGTCACGACACTACAACACGTGCGTCATCAAACCGCCTGGAAGTTTTTAATGGTCGCTCGGAGACCGACGTCTATACAAATTGGCCTCCAACAGTCGGCTCGAACATGTCTATCAACAGTATATCTAGCGATTCTAGGGCTTTCCATGGATAGCAGTCTTCTCACTCACTGCGGCAACCATCAATGCCGTACCGTCCGACTACATCCTGGTGTGGTTGCCAACAAAGATCTTTAAAGTGTAAACAGCACATTGGTACTACTCAGCCCCTGGATGGAAGGACGCCTATATTAGGCACGCTTCGGCGAGATCCATCTCTTGTGGCATAGGAACGACTATCGAGATGGACAGGCGCTGACGGATCCGGAGACCTACCATACGGGGGCAGATGCCCGGAAGGTCGCCACACACCCAAATATACTCTTGTAGCAGCGAAGTGCCGGACGTTGCATTGCTCCACTATCTATAGCCTTCCGCTGTTTCTCCACGTAGGCGATGGATGAGTAGCACCTGTGCGATCACGTGCAGGATTATTCTCCTAGTAGACAGGCACACCTCGTGGCTCTCGCGGGGGCAACATAATGCCCCTCCACTTCCTACTCCACATTCCGAGCACTCTGTCTTCTTTTCCTCCAATCAACCGTCATGTAACAATCACTGTCCTCTGCGACAACCGCCGCGGCCGCCTGCCATATCGTGGGTCCCAACGCTCACGCATCTCATCTCGCCTTCTAACTTCACCCGGTGGATGCGTGCGGCGAGACGAGACGACAGTCTAGCGGACCCGCACCAGCACTCCAACGACTTTACCTAGCTACCCGGCATATATGGCCTGGCTGTCCACGGCACTTCTCTCCCCTGGCCGTATGTGATCTGTAAGTCCATTGTGCTCGCGTTACTTCTGCGCGGATAAATTCGTATCGCTTATAATTCCTCAGCATCTTGCACCTTCATCGCGGATAGTTGTGTTCTTCATTCTTCCTTTCGATAACGCGAATGATGCATTCGACGCAGCCACGCGAGCTTCAGCCTCAAGCAGATTTGCCTAACCGAATCGTTTCAGCATCCTCGATACCTACCCCTCCGGACTCTGTCCCGCCCTCGCCGAAACACAGCATGCCCGACGGCATCCTTGACGACATCTCACATCGACGACACAACCCATTGAGAGGTTCTTGGGTCCTAGTGTCACCACACAGGACGAAGCGACCATGGCAGGGACAGCAAGAGGAGTCGGCAAAGAGCGTGCTGCCTGCTTATGACCCAAGCGTACGTGCGATTGACCCGCGCAAGCATCGAGTTGCAAGAGGACCTCGGTTGATAATTTGATACAGTGCTATCTATGCCCTGGCAACAAGCGTGCGCAAGGCGATGTCAACCCGAAATATGACAGCACATTCGTGTTCGTCAATGACTTTGCCGCGGTGAAAGAGCAGCAAGACGAATATCACCTACCTTCGGACAATGGATGTACGTCCACCAGAGATGAGTACAATCAATGTGACGTACTGACTTGTGAACAGCACTCGAATCCCGTCTACTACGAGCAGAAGGCACGACAGGGAAATGCTACGTCATTACCTTCTCGCCCGAGCACAACCTCACACTCGCCGACATGCCCGCCTCTTCCATCCTACCAGTCATAAATACGTGGACCAAAATCTACACTTCCCACCTCGACCCACGCTCGCCTCTTATCAAAGCACCGAAGTCTACAAATTTCCCACAGTCGACAACCAATGGCAACATCATTGATCAGCCAATGCAGCAGTTCCGCTATATGCAGATATTCGAGAATAAAGGCAGTGCAATGGGGTGCTCAAATCCACATCCTCATGGGCAGATATGGACGACCACGTCTCTGCCAGAAGAGCCGGCGATCGAGCTGGTACATATGGCTCAGTACAGGCGTGATCATGGTGGAGCGCACTTATTAGAAGACTATGCAAAGTTAGAGAGCGAGAAGGCCGAAAGGACGGTATTCGAAAACAATAGCTTCTGGGCAGGGTGTCCATGGTGGGCTACTTGGCCCTTCGAGATTATGGTAGTCGCGAAGAGCCACAAACGGGCGCTGGTAGACCTGAGCCAGCAGGAGAAGGAAGATCTGTCAGAGGTGATGTCTGAGATCACGAGAAGATACGACAATCTGTTCGAGACGAGCTTTCCTTATAGTAAGCGATCGCGATGCCTTTTTCTTCTTGTTGAGCACAGCGCTAATCTTTGACTAGGCATGGGCATTCATCAAGCGCCGTTGACAGGCACCGACGAAGAGATCGAATGCTCGCATCTTCATCTGCACTTCTACCCACCCCTCCTTCGAAGCGCAACGGTGCGAAAGTTCTTGGTCGGCTACGAGATGATGGCAGAGCCACAACGCGATATAACACCCGAACAAGCGGCGAAGCGGCTACGAGACTGCGGTGGTGAGCTGTATCGAAAGCGATAGCATCTGCACGCTACGATTCATGGTTCGTTTTAAAGCGGCATTGGCTGGCATCACGGTCGGGGTTGCATTTGGGTCGGCGTTTTAGACGGGCGGAACCAACTCACGATGCCTGGAGGACTGATTTCGATTTGCACAGCACACGTATGGTACCAACGACTCGCATTGACGAGCACTAACCAATAGATTAGCAAACCCGACAACGACAACGCTCATGCCTCGGCCTGATTGATGGCTCGTGACAGTGTATTGCAAAGCTACTTCCTATCTCGTACTCTCAGGGTCCTAAATTTCTCCAAACTTCAACCAATTCGGCAGTCGTCACCTACCGAACCCTGTGCAGATCTCTACATTTCTACCCTTTCTCCCATGCCCGAATCAACTCCATCTCCTTTGATTGGACGTGGTATTCAGCTACAGCCATTGATATCGTTCGCCAGACCGATATTTTGCTCGGTTATGCGATAGGCTTCTATCTAGCTCCGACCATTGCCTATCAACGTCGTCTTTCTGTCATGGATCACAAGCATGATCGCACACGATTCGCTACAGCTCTGGGGAGAGACATTGACAGATGATTTGAAGGTGTAAGATCACAAGTGTTTGTCATCCATCGAAATGTCTCAGGAGAAACATCAAGTGCATCCTTGTCTCTTGTGCATGCTTACTCGAACCTCAGCCTGTCCCAACCACTATCTACTTTACCCACCCTTAAGATACAACAACAAGTCTCATTCATAGCACCATGACCAACGACGACAACATGCCGACACTTGGTTTGCTCGATCTCCCAGCAGAATTGAGGAACAAAATCTACGAATTAGTGTTCAACGACATCGACGAAGAAGTTCTTTGCCCATTTGTCTGGCAACTGGATCAATGCAAGAACACTTATAGCCTCACTCAGACATGCGACCAAATCCGGCGCGAGACGCTGTCGATGTATTACGCTGGTAAAAAGCTATTGTTCGCCATGAGGCAAGGCAACGTCCGCCACTACGAACGATGGCTCCAACGACGACCTGATGCAGCAATCACATCGATCCGACGGATCCAGTTGGAAGATTATCAGCACAGCAAGAACCGCTGTCCCGCTCAGCATCCGTACTTCTGCCGGAGTGCAATCATCATCAACCTGGTCAAGCCATCGCCTGTGAGTTGGAGGAGAGACTCGCAGTGTATGCATTGTCTCCTTCATGACAGTGCCGTTGATCGAGTCAATGCCGTGGTGAGGGCGAGGAAGGGTGAACGGGGTACGGTAATGACTAGGGAGAAGTTGGAGGAGATCTTCGAGGCTGCTGCTTGGGAGGCCTGAGCTGTTCAGTTAGAGTCAGAGGCCACAACTACCTGGTAGTGTGTAGAAGTTGCAACGATCCTTTGTATCTTAGCAGTCCCTTGATCACTTTGGCGAATTCTTCTGGTAATCGCCGGTATAGTAAGCACTCACGTTCAGCTGTTCATACACGAATCGCTCATGTGATGCGTTAAAGTCGATACCACCAACGACGAAAGTGCCGATTTAGCAATATATTGTGGGTCTGCAATTGCTGTATTTATTTTGTAGATTGTCCCGAAGCATTGCGACTTGTTGTGCCACAAGCAAAAGGCACCATGTTTTTTGCCTAGGCCAAAAGAAAAGGAAAAAAAATTCGAAGCGTGTGCAAACGACCAACATCTGTTGAACGGTTAGAGTCATTCAATATCGTTCAATAATTGATTACGGACGGGACTCGAACCCACAATGAGTGAAAAAAAAGATTACATCGACCAACATCTGGTTATTATCAGCTCTGTATCAATGTTGGCCATATGAATTTCAACGTACGGGACTCGAACCTGTGACAAATTAGCTAAGGCCGGTGTAGTGTGTTGTCATATATTGACTCACCCACAACCTTCCGCTGGAATCCAATACAATAGGAGGCGGACGCTCTACCATTGAGCCAATCCTGATCAATTGGTTAGTAGAGAATTGCGAGGTCGCGATGTTCGAGTGAACGCACGGCCAGTTGTCAAGCAAAGAACTCGTGGGACGATTTGCTTACTGTATATAGTAGCTACTCTTGGCGTTGAATCGTATGTTAGGCAGAAGCTGAAATCTTTCCGTCGACTTGGTGATGTGTTATTCATTTTCGATAACGATGTCGACAGAATGGCCACGGTTGAGCCCGAGCCTCGTTGCTAGCTTTTAGAGCGTTAGCAGAACAGGGGACTGTACAGCAGCTCGAAGGACGTCGAGCGTTCGGAGAACTTTGCTGACAATTGATTGCCTATCGATGCTCTTAACGCAAGTGGATATGTACACCTTTCGTCCACCACAGCTGCATATCCTACCTGTGCCCAGAGTGCTGGCTCTCGATGTGCTTTAAAAAATTGGCCGTCAAGATGTGCCTGTTGCACGAAAGACAGGGCACCTTCTCCTCATCCTCAGTATGGTTCGTCACACGCGACAGGTATTCAGCGCTGGTGTGGAAGTCGGTCATTAGGTGGCGACCAAGCTCTCCCGGGCTCCAGAGTGGTTTTGGTGTAGCGACAGTGCCATCGACAGCACAATTGAGGCACGTAAGTTGGAGAGCACTGGCGCTGGTTTCTGTCTTCGCATCTCCTTCGTTCTCCTCTGTGCTGTCGGATTGGTTGAGCAGCTTTTGCGCTCCCGAGAATTCCCCAAACTGGGCAGAAGAGGCGGCGGAATGTGCTGTACGGGACGAGGTCAGCGGTACGTAGCGCGGAACGCAACGTAGATAGCATACCATGAATCTGAGCCATCTTCTGCTTGTCCTGCGCTAGACCTTTGAGCGCTGGCTTCATCCTAGCACTGGCTTCTCCTACTGGTGGCGCATTGTCGTGGTTAGATGCCATGGTGGAGTAGTCTCGAAGTTCCGATGCATAAGCTGTAGTAACAGGCAGTGTGAAGTGATGACGGCGGCTGGACCGTTGATGCGAGAAGACGTGAGGTTGAGATAGACTACATCTGCCATGTGTGCAGGGTCGCACCTGCCTTTTCCGACGTTACCTGATAAGCTCTATTCAGACGTCCATCCATGGCGACCTCACCTCACCTCACCTCACCTTCCAAGCTTCGTTCATCTATTTCTCATAACGCTGCTGCTGCTTCAGGCCTGCAGTCAAGGGGCGCCAGACTCCGCGCAACAATCCGAGCCTACCAAAACAAAGCCGTGCTAAACCTCCGTCTCCGTCTGCGGACTTATCTCGCCGTCACCATCTTCACCGTTTCCGAGCTCATCAACCTCCACAGGCTCAGCTTTCTGCTTCGCGGCAGCGAGATCATCCGAATCCGTACCATTGACGTCGATCAAGTCGGCATGGCTCCCACCCTCCTTTTCCAGCCGAATGTAGTCATTCCACTCAGGGAACATCTCCTCATCACCATCATCTCCCTCGGTGCTATCGTCATCCAGCCCAGAAGCAGCAGGACCGGGAGGTAGACCGAGCATTCTGCTGACTTTGCCCTTGCCTTGCCTCTCGAGCCCAGACTTCCACTCGGACACGATGGCTTTGCATCTGCTCGGCTTGTAGGTCTGCGCGAACAGGACGGCTTCGGCAACACGGTTGGTGGCAAGCAGGAGGTCCAGGCATCCGTCAATGTCCGCCAGTTGCCACAAGCAGGAGAAAGCCACGTTCCACAGCCCGGCGTCCTTTGCCTTGCTGGCCAGATCCCGCAGGCCATCATGGTTCGCGCTGGAGCTGTACAATAACAACAAGCTTCCAAGGTCCTTGGCGTGCAGGAAGCACTCTTCAGCCAACCGCACATCCCATGCGACGAGTGCAGCGTCGCCAACAGTCTTCCACTTGTGCTCGACGTCAGCCTCTTTCGCCAACTCCAGTCCGATGTCAAGCCTTCCCAGGCTCAAAGCCAGTTCGAAGCGATGTTCCTTTTCTGTCGCTACGTCGAGCGCCAGCTCCTTGTAGCCTTGGCCTTCCAAGAACCGCGCGATCTTCGGTCGCTGCTCTTCTGGGATTTCCGGAAGCATGTCTTGTGCTGCGTCGACATCACCACGGAGAACAAGCGTTTGGTACTCGATAACCGATACAGAGAGTGCGAAGGAGGTGACAGCGACGTCCTTGTCGCAGACGTAAACTCGCGCATCACGAGCCAGGTAGCCTAGAACGTAGTGCGGTGAGTCGAAGTGCGAGATTGTGTATGTCTGGTCGCCCACAAGGTAGTTCAGACGGTTGGTCGAAGTTGTGTAGACGAGGCAGTCGCCGATCCATTGGCCTGTACGGATGCTGTCGAAGATATTAGTGGCGATTCAGGACGTAAAAAGTTGATCACAAACCTCTCGTTGATATCGCAGACAACCTCGAAGGCCTCCTCAACCCCATCCTCCTCTACCGTGCCGGCCTGCACAGCTGCAACATACTGCTCTCTGGAATACCTCAGCACGTAGAAAGTGTCCTCACACGCCAGGCAGACCAGCTCGCCATTCTCCGACCAGTAGACACTCCGTGGTTCCACTTCAATGCGTCGTACGAGCTTGCCCGTCTCCCAGTCGAAGAAACCTACACCGCCTTGTCCCTTTACACCGAGGAGAACGCCACCACTGAGCCCTTCAGCTGAGTATTCGACGTTGATACTGCCGTCGCCGCCTTTGGGCTTGAAGTTGCGGTAGATCTTCACAGAGTGTTGCGATTCTCGGATGGCGTAGTCTTTGTCATTCTCCTTGCTAGCCCACGCAAAGTCGAGCGCTGAGCCGAAGGCTTGGTTCCGGAGGGCCAATGCCGTGTAGATGATGTACTCTCCATCACCACACACAGCGACAAAGCGGCCATTCGGAGAGTGAAGCAGAGTTTGCGGGTAGATCTCCGTGCTTCCCAGATCCTTAGAGGGCAAAGATATCGGCTGACCATCCTTGAGCGACTTGTCACCACCCTTGAGGACGGACGTCAGGATCTCGGAGTGTCGAGCGTAGATGATCTTGCCAGAGTTGTCCATGCTGACGGCTGGCTCTTCCCGACCCATCTTTACGACCACCGCACCATCGTCGAAGCCCATAGCAATGCCTTGTCGACCGCGCTGGTATGACACACACCATGCACGTTCGAGGCCATACGAGAGGGACTGCTCGAGGCGGTATGTGTTGGCGTGCCATATCTTCACGGTGCCGTCTTCGGAGCCAGAGATGATGACAGGCAGTTCGGGGTGGAAGCAGGCGAAGGAGACATTGCTCGTATGGCCTTCCAGCGTCGCGATGAGAGCTTTGGTGGTGTAGTCCCAGATCTTGACAGTACGATCGTCGGAGGTGGTAAGAAGGTACGGCTTGTCGCTCTGCGGGTAGTAGTCCACGTGGTTCACACCCTTCGCATCATGTGCCTCCAGGGTGAAATTGGGCGTGCCGCTGCTCAGATTCCATATCTTGACCGTGCGATCCAAGCATGCGGACGCAAAGGTATTTGTATCCTTGGGGTTGATCGCCAAGCCCATAACATAATGGCTGTGCCCCTCGAACACCTGCACGCACTTCCACTGCCTATCCCAATCCCACAGCTTTATTGTCATGTCATCTGAGGCGGTGAGGACGAATGGACTCGTGGGGTGGACAGCAATCGCGCGGATGTAGTCTGGATGTGCTTCGAAGGAGGTGATCTTCTCGGAGGTGTTGTAGTTGTAGACTCGTAGTTGAAAGTCATCGCTGCCGCAGACGATCCAGTTCTTGCGGGCAACGAAGCGGCCGGCTCGTACAGGGACATCGGTGAGCTCGAAGGTCTTGATGATGGATTGCGATTCGTAGGACCAGATGTAGACGTGGCCGCTGTAGAGGGTGGTGAGAATCCATGGCTCGACGGGGTGGAAGTCAATGCCTGTGAGAATATGTCAGTTGCGATCAGGCTCATTTGGGTGGGAGATGTACCTTTCACACGTTCGCTTCTAGCGAAGAGCTGTCTCTGCAAGTCGAGTCTGATCTTAGCACCCATCGCTGCTCGTACATAAATATCTGAAGCGTACCTGAACATTCAACTTCATCGTTGCGGTGGGAGGTCACCCATCCGATGCAAGGAGCCGCCGGTGTGCTGGGTCGGGCTACTGTCGTGACACCACCGGCACTCAAGTCGGGGGTCGAGTAGCAGACAAGGTGATAAGCAGGTTGAGCAGGTCGTTATCGTCAAGATTGGGAATTGCTACGTTTCTTCAAGCTGCCTTCCAGATGCACAGCTGTAGTCAAAATCCAATGTGTGCCTCAGGCACTAACATTTTTGAAGCACAAGCGAAATAATCAATGCATTGGAAGCAGCGATTATGTACCGTGTTTGCGTTCCTTTTCTTTCATAGCAGCCTGTCAAGACACAAGACGAATCGCCATTGACCCCCTGATATCTCCCTATCGCCTGTCTACAGCGTACGCAGCAGTCTCAACGTCTCATCAATCTCTCTAACACGTTGCATCAACACAGCTTTCTCTGCCACCAGAGGTTTCTCAATGCCCTCCCGTAGGCCCCTTAGGGTCGCCGCAGTTCCAATAAGTCTCGCATTGGCCTGGTCCGCCGCGTGTCCAACCTCCTTGAGCACCTTGGCTGCTCGGTGCGCCGCATCCTTTTCTTCTTTGAACTCCCAGGTCGCATAGTCCACCCTAAATCGTTCCGCCTCAAGCTCCGCAGCAGCTTGGCGCAGGGCTACGATCTCTTCGGCGTTCGAGGTCGTAGTAGCTGGCTTTGAATGCATGGTGTCGTGCTGTCCAGCTGTGCTTGCCTTCGCCGCATTTCCGTCCTTCCAGCTTTTATGAACCCAGGCAGATGAGCTCTCCGCTGGAATGCTCCCGCCCCCTTCAGCTCGGCACGTCTTTGATGTGTTGCCATCAATCGGTCCTTCGCAGGGCTGAGTCACCGGCTCGTCTTGCACAGTACCCTGACGCTCCCCAAATTTGCTCCTTCTCGCGCCATTGCCCCTTCTTCCTCCGTTCTGCTTCGGGTACATTGGCGAATCATCGATCTCCTCC